CAAAGTCCTACTTGTTGGCATAAATTATAGGGATCAGATTCGGGGAATCCCCGCACAAATTACGTAGCTTAGAAGGGAAATAGGCCGACGCGACTAGACACCGAAAGCTACTTTTTGAAGCAGAACAAGATTAAGACGCTACCAACCACCATGAAATGTGTGACTCCGTGGACAAGTGAGTGCTTTCGAGTTGTTCTATTTTCAGTTTCTTGTGCCCGTTTCGTGGAAAGGGAACAAGCTCATGACAACATTTCTCAGAAAGTTCAATAGAAACAGGGTGCAGCTGTGACCAGCCAATGAACGGCCAACATCAGCCATAGCAACCAACTAGCAACCAATCAGGCCTCAGTGAAACTGAAACTTATTAATATTCAGAAACCCCCTTTCTTGGAATGATTTACATTTCCTGCTTTCTCAGAAGCAAACAATGCTTCCCTAGATCTCAAATCGACATGTCTTCGGACATTCCTTAAGATCGGGCAAAGAAATACACATGGAACGCTCGCGTATTTTGGTCTCTGGATTTCCAGAGGGCACGACAGAGTCGCAGCTTACGGTATACTTTCAGTCTAAACGAAATTCTGGTGGTGGCGATGTAGAGAGCATCGAATTCAATGGAAGCGGAGCCATTGTTACTTTTGAAGACGTAGAAGGTATTTGATTGCAATTTGTTTCAAGTCCGCAGTGTGTAAACGATATTAACTGACATTGATAACAAGTGTATTCTTGTTTTAGCATGAACCCTTTTTTTTTTTGCTTCCAGTGAATTGCGTCTTAACTAAATTCATTTGATCGGGAATCATTAAAATAAAATATCAAAACCGAAACCAAAACGTCCCCGTACGCGGAAGGCTTATCGAAGTTACCTTGCAGACGATGGCTTCCCGCCAAATCGCGGCACAGTATCGTGTTCACTACCGGATGCAGTTGTAGTCTTCTGAGTCTCGTTACATGTGCATTCGGCTTAGACTGATAAACCTGCATGAACAGTGCCATAATGAAAACGCCATACAACCACTGTCCAAAGAAAATGATTGTAAAGAGAGTATCACTGAATTGCAGTCTTCTCGCGATCGAGCTTCAAGGAGT